ACAAAAAAACTGAGGGGGCCCACCCCTGAGATCCGACGGCGCGGAAAAACTGCAACGTGGCAAAAGATACGGACGGGACAAAAATGCCCACGGATGTAAAAAGGGCATGGGGCCGGCTTGGAGGCGGCCAGGGCGTCTGAAATGGAACCACGCAAAATCGATCAGGATGGGGAGACGGATGAGGCCAAATCCGTTTAAAATCAGTTCCCAGGCCCATCATATCATGGGGTCCACCTGGTGCAGCTTCTCACCCTAGATCCGTTTTTCACTGCCCCACGGCCCGAATACGGACCCAGAGGCCGAAAAAGAAAGAAAAAAAAAAAAAAAAAAAAAACCTTCCCGAAACCAGAACTCCGAACCTGCCCGCCCGTCCCGCTGGCCGGCACCAGTACCCCCAACCCTTGGGGAGCGGACCTGGGCTAGGAGGCCGCGACCTTGGGGTTCGTTCTGTCCAGCATATGTACCAAGCGAGACCACACACACACACACACACCTCTACTATCCCAAATACAAAGATGGGGACCTAGGGTCGGCTACGTTTGAACTATGCAGCTAGGTTCTGGGTTCTTTTATGATCGGCGACTCGACGACACGCAAGAGTGATCCTAGGCAAGAGTGACCTTTGGTGCACGGTTTCAGGAGGCCGCGGGCAGGCCAAATTCCAAGCGCGCAAGCCAGCGCGGGAGGTACCCCTGTGGGCCAAGCGCGCAAGCCCGCACCGAAGGTCACAAGCCAAGGCCAAGCCAAGCCAAGCGCGCAAACCCGCACCAACGGTCACTCTGGGGAACTCTTACGCGAAGCCGGGGGTTGTTTCCTGCGTCTTCGGTCCTACGTCTGACGTGGGCCTCCGGACGATGAGGGAGCCGATGGAAGGGGCAGGAGGAGGAGGAGGAGGAGAAGGAGGAGGAGGAAGAGCAGGAGGAGGGGGAGGAGAAAGAGATGACGAGTGCAAACCTAGACAACCAGCCGCTCCAACTTTTTCCATGCGTGGGCCCTGGAGGTCTGGACAACTTCCATAGGCCGGTACTGAGTCGTTTTGTTGACGCTACTGAGGCCCAGCGAGGGCCCCCGGAGGCAGAAAAAAAAAAAAAAAAAACGCTCCTATTTGTTCGGAACGCCGGATCTCTGGGAACATGGATTCCTTCATCGTCGATGTCCCAGCGCCGCCAGAGGAGGTCAGCGGGGATCTTCAGAGCATGCCGAGCGGCGCAGATGCCGTTGTAGGGAGCCGGAGGAGGAAGAGGAGGAGGAGGAGGAGGAGGAGGAGGAGGAGGAGGAGGGGGAGGAGGGGGAGGAGGAGGAGAGGGAGGAGGAAGAGGAGGAGGAGGAGGAGGAGGAGGAGGAGGAGGAGGAGGAGGAAGAGCAGGTGGAGGAGGAGGAGGGGGAGGGGGGGAGGAGACGACGAGTGCGACCAGAAGCGGGAGAGCCCACCTCGGAGCCGCGGCAGCAGGGACCCCTCGTGCCCGCAACGCCGCCCCAGGCCTTCCGAGCGGCCGGCCTCAACCTCCGACGCGCCACGGCCTTTCTCGCACACCGTTGCCCCCAGAGGCCCAGGGACCGGCTTCTTCCTGGCGGCGCGCAGAGGGCGGCACCCAGAGGTCCAACGCATTGAAAAGATCAAGACGGAAATGTTTCTCAGTTTTCGGCCTCGAGGGGCCCTCACCGGGCCCTGGGACCGTCAAAGAACAAAGACCCAGGATGAAAAACCAGTCAAACCAGTCCTGGGGAATGGGTCGAGACTTCCGGGGACCGCGTAGTTAAAAAATACGACACCAGATCTCTGGGTAAGGGGAGGGGGGGAAGGCTTTTTAGAAGGAGGCTGCCTCTTAGAAGGCGCCGGCCCTGCATCTGCAGACCAGGGCCGCGCCCTCTTCGTGTATATGAGAAGCTGGGGCTGCCTTTGAGATGCCTCCATCCCCCTCGCCCGGCCCCCCTCTGCACGTGGCCGACTTCTGCCACGATGCACGAGACCCAGACCACGACGCCACGACTTCTTCGTGACGTGGATCCCCAGCGGGCCGGACCCCTTCCCTTGGACCCCCTCTTCCTCCCGAGTCGCTTCTTGACGGTCCTGGGGTCCGGCCGGCGAGGGGGCCCGGGAGGCCAAAAGTTGCGAAAAAAACTCCGGTCGTGATCTTCTCGGGAGCGGAAAAGAGGGGGGTGTCCAAGAGGGGGGGGTGCAAATCATGACCGGCGGCATGTGCGCGGCCCAGCGGGGGGGCCGGGGACGTAATGAAATAAGAAGGGGCGCCATGAAATCTGAGGAAATATCATGGCCCCCGCCATGATATCCACCCCCCCCTAGTCATCACCCCCCCTCTTTTCCGCCCCCGATCTTCTCGTGGCTCGAGGGGACGGGGGGGGGGGCGAGAAGAAGCGCAGCGGCGCCCGAGGCCCGAGGGGAGGGGAGCGCGCAGCTCGTCCCGCCGCAGCGTGCCGGCCGCGGCGCCGTCCATGCCGCGGCCGACCCCGCCCTGCCCCGCAGGCCAGGGCCCCGCGCCTCCTGAGGCGCGGAGCGCGGCAGGGTGCCTTCGGGGGCCGCACGTTCTTGGCGCCTCCTCCTCCTCCTCCTCCTCCTCCTCCTCCTCCTCCTCCTCCTCCTCCTCCCCCTCCTCCTCCTCCTCCTCCTCCCCCTCCTCCATTCCTTTTCCTTATTACCCTGGCGACGTACCCAACCCCTGCGCAGAGCAGGGTAGGAGTAGCTTGGGAAATTCGATGACAGGGCGACGACGTGACATGGACGCATATACTCCTGCGAGCGGCATTCGAAGTTTCACAGGTCCCCGGTCAAGGGAAAAAAACGTGGTAGAGATGAGAAACTAACTGAACCCCTGAATTACTAAGGCAAGGTCCAAACGGAGAAGGCGGGCAACAGGTTTGGAACGTCAGGCGGGGCAGCAACGACATGACATGGCTCCCTGAAACCAAAATTCCCACGCGACGACGCATTTTCTGAACCCGCGGCGAGGCGCCAGGGACGGCGAGGTCGCGCTAAGGTCTGCGCGGTGCCTTATTCCGCTGGACCCACCAGCAGCCCTCGAAAGTGACGGCAGTGTCGCAGATCGCAGCCCCCCAGGGACGGCGAGGTCCCGCTCAGGTCTGCGCGGTGCCTGACTCCGCTGGACCCACCAGCAACCCTCGAAAGTGGCGACAATGTCGCAGATCGCAGCCCCCCAGGGACGGTGAGGTCCCGCTCGGGTCTGCGCGGTGCCCCACTCCGCTGTCGCAAATCGCAGACCCCCAGGGACGGCGAGGTCCCGCTCAGGTCTGCGTGGTGCCTCACTCCGCTGGACCCACCAGCAGCCCTCGAAAGTGGCGACAGTGTCGCAGATCGCAGCCCCCGAGGGACGGCGAGGTCCCGCTCAGGTCTGCGCGGTGCCTGACTCCGCTGGACCCACCAGCAACTCTCAAAAGTGGCGGCAGTGTCGCAGATCGCAGGGTTCATTCCAACATCGTTGATAACTCTTGGGTTTACACTGGTCCTCCTGGTCCTCCTCCTCATCCACCTCATCCTCCTCATCCTCCTCCTCGATCAGCTCCTCCTCGATCAGCTCCTCCTCGATAAGCTCCTCCTCCTCCTCCTCCTCCTCCTCCTCCTCCTCCTCCTCCTTCTCCTCAACCTCCTCCAACTCATCCCCTCCTCCTAATCCTCCTCCTCGTTTTCCTCCTCCTCCCTCCTCCTCCTCCTCCTCCTCCCTCCTCCTCCTCCTCCTCCTCCTCCTCCTCCTCTCATCATCATCATCATCATCATCATCATCAGCATCAGCATCAGCATCAGCATCACTATCCCCATCACCGTCATCATCATCATCATCATCATCATCATCATCATCATCATCATCATCATCATCATCATCAGCATCATCATCATCATCACCATCATCATCAGCAGCAGCATCAGCATCAGCATCAGCATCAGCATCAGCATCATCATCATCATCATCATCATCATCAGCATCATCATCATCATCATTATCATCATCCCCATCACCGTCATCATCATCATCATCATCATCATCATCATCAGAATCAGCATCATCATCATCATAATCATCATCATCACCGTCATCATCATCTTCATCATCATCATCATGCTCATCATCATCATCATCATCATCATCATCATCATCATCATCAGCAGCAGCATCCTCATCATCAGCATCATCATCATGGTCATCATCATCAGCAGCAGCATCAGGTGCATCAGCCTCATCATCATCATCATCAGCAGCAGCAGCAGCATCGTCATCGGCATCGTCATCACCAGCATCATAATCATCAGAATCATCATCATCATCAGCATCAACGTCATCATCATCAGCAGCAGCAGCATCATCAGCATCATCATCGTCAGCATCATCAGCAGCAGCACCGTCACCATCACCATTACCATCATCATCAGTATCATCATCGTTATCATCATCATCACCATCGTCATCATCAGCATCATCAGCATCATCCTCAGCATCATCCTTATCATCAGCGTCATCATCATCATCATCCTCATCATCATCTGCAGCATCATCATCACCATCTTCATCCTCATCATCATCATCATCCTCATCCTCATCCTCAGCTTCAAAATCATCATCAGCGGCCCCAGCGGCATCAGCATCAGCATAAGCAGCAGCAGCAGCATGAGCATCAGCAGCCTCATATGCATCATGATCGCCATCAGCAGCAGCACCATCAGCAGCAGCATCATCATCGTCCTTATCATCCTAGTGGTCCTCCGCCTCCTCCTGGTAATCATCATCATCATCAACAGCAGCATCATCACCATCACCATCATCAGCATCCTTATCATCGTCATCATCATCATCATCATCATCATCAGCATCATCATCAGCATCAGCATCATCTGTAGCCGCAGCATCATCAGTAGCAACCGCATCGTCATCATCACCATCATCACCACCAGAATAATCACCGTCAACAACATCATCATCAACAACATCCTCATTATCGGCATCATCAGAATCATCACCAGCATCAGCATCAGCAGTATCAGCATGAGCACAATCATCCTCATCCTCATCCTCATCCACCTCCTCCTCAACCGCATCCTCATCCTCAGCCCCATCATGACCATCATCCTCATCATCGTCCATATCATCCTCATCAATATCGATATCTTCCTCATCCTCATCCTCATCCACATCATCACCACCATCCTCATCCTCATCCTCACTCTAATCCCCATCCTCATCATCATCATAAGCAGCAGCAGCGTCATCATCTTCATCCTCCTCCTCCTCCTCCTCCTCATCATCATCATCATCATCATCCTCATCCTCATCATCATCATCCACCGACTCCTGCTCATCATTATCCTCATCCTCATCATCATCCTCATCCTCATCATCATCCTCGTCACCATCATCGTCATCATCATCATCGTCATCATCATCATGAGCATCATCATGAGCAGCAGCATCATCATCAGCAGCATCATCATCAGCATCATCAGCATCAGCATCATCATCAGCAGTATCTTCCTCCTCATCCTCATCCTCATCCTCATCCTTCTCCTTTTGCGCCTTTTCCTCCTTCTTTTCTGTTTCGTTTTCCTCCTGCTCCTCCACATCCACCTGAGTCCTGAGTCCTGAAGGCAGGAAGGTCTGTAAGACGTTGCTTTCCACCTCCACCTCTCCTCCTCACCCTCATCCTCCTCCTCATTCTACTCCCCCTCCTCCCCCTCCCCCTCCTCCTCCTCCTCCTCCTCCTCCTCCTCCTCCTCCTCCTCCTCCTCGTCCTCCTCATCCTCCTCCTCTCCTCCTCCTCCTCCCCCGGACCTCCCACATCCTGGACAGCTCAAGGAGTGTTCTTTTATTCGTTGCTCTCGGCCCTTGGGACCGTTTCGACTGTCCACGGCCATGCAAACAAGATTCAGGACGAAAAAACAGTTTTCGGGGAGGGGTTGAGACGTCGAGGGATCGGAAAAAAAACGGGCCATCGGAAGTACGGAGCCCAAGCTGTCCCCGGCTTTTCGCTCCAGTTGACGCCCCTGGCACCCCTGAGCCTTGCGAGGGTTGCTCTGGAGGTCGTGGGAGCCTCCTTGGCCCGATGCTTTGTCCTCCACCCCTCCCTTCCTGAGATCGGGGCAGCATCTGATTTGTTTCACGCCGGGCGCCTCAGCCATGAAATACATAATCCTATCATCGTCCTCGCCCCCGTCCTCAAAGACCTCCTCCGCCTTCTCCTGCTGGATTATTTACTCAGTTTGAAGCTGGCGTGGTCGGCCAAGCCCGAGGTCATGGTCATGTGACCGCTCCAATTTTTTCGATGCATGGGCCCGGGAGGTCTGGACCACTTCCCTAGGCCCAGCTTTTTGTCCTGAGCCGTTGTTTGAAAGTCCTGAGGCCCGGCGAGGGCCTCAAGAGGCGGAAAAAGCTAAAAACCGGCCGATCCAAATTTTCCGGACCGCCGGATCTCTGTGCACACCCGTGCACGTGTTCTGCACCCAACGTGCCGCCTTGGGTCCACAAGCACAGCTGTTGTCTGGTCTGGTCTGCGGGGTGTTTCGCCCAGGGCTCGAGGCGTGGGACCCCCGCGGACCGTCTGGATCGAGAGCTGCCGCAGAGAAACTATCGGGCCAAGGGCCTCGGTCGCTGGCTTCCACACCGCAGCCAACCCGTACAACGAGGACGCACGATGAGGATGCAAGGGCTTTGAAAGGCCATGTCGACCCAGTGCGAGCGGGGCGCGGCCAGCGAGAGCGGCCAAGGATGGGCCGAAGGGGGAGGATGCGAGGGTAACGTTGGAAAGTTGTCCATCCTTGTTATGCGGGCTAACTGTGCTTCATATTATTATGGTTCTCTCGATGAACATGCAGCAGCAAAGGCCCTTAAACGCGGCCTGGGAGCGTGAAGCTTCCTTGACTCTCGGCGACAGTCCAAGGTCTTACAGCCGAAGGTCGTAAGTTTCCACATTGGCGCATGCATTCGCTACCTCGGGCACCAGGGTTCGTCGAGCACCACGTTTGTTGTTTGAACTGTGGTGGTTCTGCGTCGACCCGTCAATACCCAGTGCTTCCAGATAAGCGTAGAGCCCTGTAGAACCTTGAAGGCTGGTCGGGTAAGAACCACGTTCCTCAGAAGTTAGAAAGCAAATAGCCACTCGCAAACGGGGCTTCTCTTAAGCGGTGGCGACCTGCGCGGCTCGTTGGGATGCCGCCTCTTCCTTAATCTCGTTGCCCCCCTGCTTGTTGAGCGGAGTCACCAGAGCCGCGAATCCCCCTTTCCTGCCTCCTCCGCCTCCACCTCCTCCTCGACCAGCTCCTTCTCTCCTCATCCTCCTCCTCCTCGACCATCTTTTCCTCCTCGACGTCCTCCTCCTCCTCCTCCTCCTCCTCCTCCTCCTCCTCCTCCTCCTCCTCCCCCTCCTCCTCCTCCTCCCCCTCCTCCTCCTCCTCCTCCTCCTCCTCCTCCTCCTCCAGCTCGTTGCCCTGCCCTGCCGCTCCCCCCCCCGCCAGCAGCCGCCGCCCGGCCCCAGGGGGGT